TAAAGAGTTACGTTGGAAGTGCTAGACAGAAAAGAGTACAATATTTATCTCAAAGAGAAGATTTAATGCAAAGTTTGTGATTGTTAAAAAAATAAGATAATAAAGCAGACAATAAGATTAAAAAATAAATTAACTTCATGGAAAAATCACAGGAGAGATAAACTTAACGTGGAGTTTAAGTCTCAATATCTGAAGTGCAGGCTGAGTAACAGAATGCAGACTTCGTCTCAGTCATCTTCTCTTTCCGCCTGTGAAGAGAAGCTCCCAGGTCCAGCCCGCAACAGGATGCCCTCTATGCATCTCTGCTGTTACGTAAAGACAGCAGCTGCTAGAAGGAAGCCTGTCCCTTTCCATGTACCTAAATTCCATGTACATTGCATTGCAATCTTTAAACAAGAAAGCACAAAGGACCAGCTCTAGGGCAAGTCTTTAGTTGGCCTAACTCTTTGAAGACTACCTAAGAAGTTATCGCTAGTGGAAGTTATGTAACAAAGAAGGAGAACGAGTAGGCTTACTTATTTTACAAATAGTGTTAATGCAAACTGAAATATATGACAAAACTGCTTAACCTGTAATTTATTGTAATAAGAAAACATATGACCTCTTTTGACTAAGAATAGGGCAGACAGCAATGCTAATCTATTCTTACCTACTTAATAAATTATTTAGGTGTTCAGAACATACAGAGTATGAAAACTAAAAAAAACATTTAATTAATGAATTATGAATTTTAGTTTCTAATCTATTCAGAGGGGAGCTTGCTTCTCTTTAACATGCTAAACTTGATTAATACAAATTCTCTGTTAAGTTAGATGCTAATGGTAATCAGTTATAGTGCTTCCTTTACAGAACAGCCTTTAATTTAACTGGTCAATGTACAGAAATGCCATTTCTTGACAAAGTGACAAACAAGTTCTTGGGAATCAACAGTACCCCTCAGTGCACCCAAAGCCTAACAGTCTTTCCAACTTAAGATGTCAGCGTGTTTTTTTAAAAAAAAAATCTGAAACCTATTTCTCATCTTATAGTGTCTGTAATCTTTATGGTTCTATTTGAGAAGCATGAAACTCACTTGGTCTTCCTCATGTAAGTGAGGTCTTTTAACCCTTCTGTAAGTTAGAATACTGCATCATTTGCAGAAATAGTCAACTATAAAACTGACTTGCAAAGTGTGCGCAATGGTATTAATAAAATAAATTGTATAAATAACTGAAATTATTTTTCAGGGAAAAAATGTTGCTATAAACGTATGAAGAGGAAAAGCAACAAAAAGCAGCAAATTGTGTACCCCCGTCACCTGAAATCCACACCAAGAACACAGAGACTGCTCAGAGAAAACATCCACTTCTAACAAACCTAGAAATCCCAATCTCCGTGAGAATCTAATTAATTTGGATGTGTCTATTTAGCAGAGGATACTACACTTTATGAACACAAAATATGCATATAATGATTTAAATGAAACAGCTAGTGAAAATAAACACTCCAAAATTTCACATCAGAAAACGTTTTTCTCTGAGTGTTATCAAAGCACTCGTATGAGATTCTTTTCTCACTTGTGCTGTCATAAATCGACAGCAGCTTCACTAAACTCAGTAAATAAACTCAAAATTTAGGGTATCATCTTCTTCTAAAACACGTATTGAAGACTATTTTGAGGCAGATCAGTAGTAAGTTACATGATTTAACATATATTGAACTTCAAATGCATGCAGAGTTATTCATTAACAATTTATAGGACATGCTCTATAAATTACACCTTAAAAAGATTTTTTTTTACTACAAGTACTAACATACCTAAAAGAAGTAAATACACACACAGTGCCTGTCAATAGGAAGAAAAAGCATTTTACTGGATTAAGACATGCTTGCATAAGGAGCAAAAATTATCTCTGCTATAGATGCCTGTTTGGCATTTGTGTAAAAGTCTCACTTCAAAGACAGGAGAATCAGAGCTACTGGTTTACCTCATCTAATAAAAAAAGTAGTGTAAAAGAGTTGCTTAGCTCCAGCTGACCTTGAACGTAATTGGCTACCTTGGATGTCTCTATGGTATATGCCATTAAGAAGATAAAAATATACAGGATTAAAATCTGAACCGATAAAGCTAAGAAATTAAGTATCACTTCTTTAATAAGCCTACTTTATGGAAGTATGTGAATACCAAAATATCTCCTTACTGATTACTGCTGAAGTATGAATAAGTTTAAAAATAAGTTATCAAAAGTATCTAATATTGTATTTTTCCTCTTTTTACTTGTTTAAAAACTACGAATAAAGAACTCAAGTTTTTTACTCCATGACACTCTGCTCCATCTAAAATTACTTATACACCATCACATTCTCCAACTTTTTATAAATACTTTGTCTAGACTGATAGATGTATCTTCAGACGAAGATGGAGGCATATTTTTTCTATTACATTTTTTCATCGCAACAGTTCTTTTTTTCCATACTTCTGTACTACTTAAGACTTTAAAAGCTTATGTACTTGTAAGAACCCTCTTTTACAAGGTCGGGGTTGATTATTACAGAGATGAGATTGTTACACTCTACTGCAAAACAAGAGCTACAAAAAACCCCCCCAAAATCCAACATTTAAGTCACAAAAAACAATTAGCCAACAGAAAAAGGTCTGTCAGTTAAAATACCAAGGCAAAGGCAGAGACTATTTCTGCCTCTCATGAACAAAGCCATGAATAAAGTGTGATTGTAGTAAACTGTGGGAGAAAAAAAGCTTATGAAAGACCTTTTCTTAAATTTTAAAAACACAAACACGTAGAGTTCAAAATAAAAAAAGTCTTTTTACCCCTTGGTATCAAAGTAGTTTGTGTTAGACTGCTACTTGAATTTAGGAAGTACTTACTCGGCACTGGTTTGAAACAGTAAAAAACAATTACTAGAATTGAAGGGAAGATGAAGATTTAGGAACTATGCATTACGAAATCACGTATATATAATAATAAATAATAATTAAAAAAAAAGAAACACTAGATCATGAACATGTGTTGCCATGCTACCACAACTGATCTTGTTTCCTTCCTTGATACAGGCCACTACAACTACAACGCCATTTTGTGCCAACTATTGCAGTAAACATCACGAAGGAGTCAAGCGACATCAGCCAATCTTCCAGTGTTTAAACAGAAGTTTAGGGACAGCACATGGCAACAAGTCTACAACTTAAATTTGCTTCAAAACTCCTTCATGGAAAGGACTGAGAATTAGAATTATGGAGTAATACATTTAGAAAACTGAATCAGTGTAATGATAAGGGCTAAGTTTCAGCTCTGAGGCTTATTTTGTCAACTTTCTTAGCCTCCATCCTATCACAACATCTATATTGTATTGGATCGTTACAACTTTCAAATATAATCAAGCATTTTACACTGAATCAAGTTGTTCCAGTGGCAAACAACTTCTAGGGGCTTGTAGAATTAGGATGCATTTTAGGATCACTGCTATCTCAAAAAAAATTGTATTTAGCCTTTAATTGATAAAAAACAAACTGTGAAATCTAATTCAGGATCAAACAATTCATGTAATAGGTTTGTTTAAAACCCCACCCTATATTTTGAATGCCTTCAATTTTAAAGGTAAGTTTTACAGATGAAGTAAAACATGGTGAAATATCATACATCAATGTACAAAGAGTAGGCTCTAATGAAGATTTCAGATAACAGGTGTCTTCTATTCCTTCCCTTCTTTATGATCCTAATATCCACTCAAATATCTTGAATCAATTATTTCCCAAAGAAATCAAACGCAAGCCTAAGGGCTTTTATATACTGCAGTTATATTTGAAAACATAAAGCAACGGTATTAACAACCAATCTGATTTAAACATTAGACAAGTTTACTCTTGCATTGAAATGAAACACCCAAAGTTGGGGGACTGGGAGGGAGAAAAAACAAAAACCAACAGGTAAATTGGAAATGTCATTGTCTATCACTCTTTGTTAGCTAAGGCATTTTTAGTAATAATACTGCTAAAGAAAATCATCCTTAATAAATTTAACAACATCCTTCAGCTTCCTCCACTGTACACCACTTCGAACTTCAACTCTGCTGCAAGTCATCCTCCTTGACATCCATTTTCACTGTTGTATTCTCAACAATGGTTTCTGACATTCCT